CAGCATTCTTTCGTTTCTTTTCTTAACTGTTTTTTTTTGTTTTTTTTTTGGGGTTAACAGCTTTTATCTAATGAGCCGAACAGGTTGTTAAACCTTTTAACCGTTATGCCAAATTTGGCTTTCCAATTGCGATAATTGCAGAGATTGCTAAAAACGTTCGATAACAGTATCGATAATTGCTGCTATTAGATAGTCCGCTTTTCAGCAACGATAACATTATCGATAATTGCGGCTCGACTTGGCAACGATAACATTATCGATAACTGTGGCTGTTAAGTACAAGATGAAGATAGTCCGCTTTTCAGCAACGATAACATTATCGATAATTGCGGCTCTTAGAAATATTTTAAAGATAGTCAACTTTCAGCAAAGATAACATTATCGATAATCGCGGCTGTTAAGTATATTTTGAAGATAGCAAACTTTCAGCAACGATAACATTATCGATAAGTATATTCAAATAAAATTATCGATAATTGCGGCTGTTAAGCGCATTTCAAAAATCAAGGTAACCAAAGCAACATCAGTGCAAGCTCATATAAAACAACTGAATTGTAGCACAGTCTCCCGACTGCCTGACTTAAAGATACCCTGTACCCTGTTGGAGTTAACGCGCCGACAGCAATTTGTTTGATTTTGCCTTGTCTCTAGTTCTTATACTAAGCTCTTATACTAGTTATTATACAGGAGTTGCCTCGAGGCTACCCGTTGCCTACAAGCCCTAGTTATACCCACTTTTACCCAATAGCTACAGGGCATAACAAAATGTTGACAAACATATAAAAACCATTTGGTTTAATCGTTGATTTGCATTTTAAGGGCCTTTATATACATCTGCATATCGGCTACTTGATCGGCCCATTAAATATATTCTTTGGGTTTGGCCTGCAATGAACAGCTCATAAACATTTGCTTATCAATATGAGAACGAACTACCGTTGCGATCGGCTGCGGCCCGCCACAGTGCATTCACCTTCACTTTTGCACTGCACAAATACAACCGACGTTCCCACCTGCTGCCCCTGTGCATTTCCCTTTTAAGGGGGCGGGCAGCCTGTGCGATAAGGAACAAGCAGTACAACAATATTTATACGCTGTTTACCAAGTGACAAATGGGGTATATGGGTTTTGAGTTTGACTTTCAACTAAATAATCGAGAAAATCTACACATCTACAGTTTTAGAGCTATCTGGCAGGTAGACAACTGATTAAATGGCTTACAGTTTGAACAGCGTTGACTTTCTTTATACAGTTTAAGAGTCACGAAGTCGCTGATTAAATGGCTCATAGTTTGAAAGTCTGAAGTCTGCGCGCCCCTACAAATTGAAGAGCTATATATATCACAGTTTTAAAGCCATTGACTTTTGCTTACAGTTTTAGAATCACAAATTCGATGAATTAATGAATAACCGTTTGAAAGTCTTTCACTTGAGCTTACAGTTTTACAGTCACGAAGTCATTCATTAAATGGCTTACAGTTTGACAATCGTTGAATTTGTCATACAGTTTAACAAGAACAACGATTAAGTGGCTCACCGTTTGAAAGCCATTGACTTGGACTTACAGTTTTAGAGTCACGAAGTCACTCACAGTTTGAAAGTCTTCGACTTGAGCTTACGTTTTTACAGTCACTGCGTTTAGCTGTCGCTGAAGAGCGAGCCACGCGCACCACAAACTGTACAGTTTGAAGCGAACTGCTTTAGCTTACAGTTTTAGAGTCACCAAACCACAAATAAACAAGATGCTTTCTGAACCACATTTTCCATGTTTACATTTTGCACAGTGAACAGAGTATTGCACAGTCGTTCAGACGCGTCTGGAACGCTTTCAGTTGTTTTCGCTTTGTCAATTGCAAAAAACAACACAAACCGAGGCGCAATCAAAGCGAACAACCACTTCAATTGGCGACAAGCCCAACGTTTGTCTCTGAGATCATTTATTTCAATAGAGACGAGAGAGAGAGAGAAAAGAGAGAGAGGAAATCGGTTAGCGACAGCAATTCAATTAAATATAACTAATAACTGATAAATGGCCGCCCGCCTGATTTGAGCCAAATGGAAATACAACACGCAAAGCGCGCGTCTTGACAACAAATGTCCACGCCAATAACGCTCAACAAGTGGGCCTCGATTCCAAAGCCAAAACGGTGCGAAGGACGCCCAAACAGCAGCCGGCTTAAGCTTTTGCACCTTATATGGCCAAAAACACAAACAGGCAGCAGTAGTTCGACATAAGCAAATATGGTTATTGATTTGAGATTGAGAACGTGACTGAATTGACAATTTTCAGAACTTTGCACTCGAAGTCAAGACTGGGAACAATTGATTCATAAGTTCAATAAGAATACCTTACAAAATTAGATTTAAATTGAAATCAAGTAGTTTTCGCTTGATTCAAGTTTAACCATCTCCAGTTTGGGCTTAAAAGTAACAGCATTTCCTAATAAAAAGTAAGCGTATTTCTTTTTTTAAGCTAAAATAACTCTTCACTTAAAAAAGGAAACCTGACTCTGTGCATAATATTTACATGATGCTGGCTCTTAACTTCAAATCAAACAAATCTTAAGCTAAGAACAATCTTTCAATCTCTTAACTTCAAATCAAACAAATCTTAAGCTAAGCACAATTTATTCTTAAAAGAAACTGACTTTAAAAGTAAGTGGAATATGGCTCGATTTAATCTTAAAAAGAGTTCCTGTTGAAACTTTAAATAAGTTTTTATGCGTTCTGAATTTAAGACCTTAAGTCTTATTTCAAGCAAACTTTAAAGCTTTATAAACTTTAAAAGAATTTCTGTCAAAACTTGAAATAAGTTTCTATTAGTTCTTAATCAAAAACTCTAAAACTTATTTCAAGTTAATTTAAAGTCTTTATAATCTTTAAAAGAAAATCTGTTAAAACTTGAAATAAGTTTATATTAAGTCTGAATTTAAAACTTTCACACTTATTTCTAGCAAATTTTAAAGCTTTATAATCTTTAAAAGAATTTCTGTTAAAACTTAAAATAAGTTTATATTAGTTCACTTATTTCCAGCAAATTTTAAGCTTTAAATGTTACTTGTCTAAAAAACTTATAAATTAGCTTTTATATACTTTCTTACATTACTTAAATCAAGAAAATGTCAACTAATTTCAAGATCATTTCGAGCGGATCTCAAATTTAGGGCGAATTATCAATAATTCAAGTGCTCTTAGCTCGATTTTTGGGATTCTTCAAACTGTGCTTATCAAAGAAGCGCCTTTTTTCGAGCTGTGTATTTAATATATATGAGGTATGATATATGAAAACTTCTATTTTGGTGGGTTTTTTATTTGGGAAGTGACGACTGCAATCTTATCCTTAACCAAACTTGAATTATAGCCGTGCAGCTATACGAGTCGTGTTTATGGCCAATTAGCGATAGCTTGGCTTATCTGGAACTATTGGCCCAGATAACGCCAGAGCTATATATGGTTGGACATGATTGCATTTGCAAAGTGGCTTCAGTCTAACCGAGCACACTTGCCGTCGACATGTCGTATCAGTCCAAGGTGCACACGAATAGATATGGCAACAATGTAAAGGATATGTGAAATGGTAAACTAAAGATTTCTTCCATCTTGCTTACAGATCAATTCGAAGTACAGCGAGGAGCTGGCACAGGAGTCACTGGAATGGATTAAGGCCGTGACAGCCGAACCGATCAACACATCCGGCGATACGGACAACTTCTTTGAGGTGCTCAAGGATGGCGTGATTCTGTGCAAGCTGGCCAATGCGTTGCAGCCCGGCTGCATCAAGAAGATCAACGAGAGCAAAATGGCCTTCAAGTGCATGGAGAACATTTCGGCATTTCTGGAGTGTGCCAAAAACTTTGGTGTGCCCACACAGGAGACCTTCCAGAGTGTCGATCTCTGGGAACGTCAGAATCTCAATTCTGTCGTCATCTGTTTGCAGTCGCTGGGTCGCAAGGTGAGCCACTGGCTGACACATCTATTGATATGGATTTGTAATTAATGCCACGTTCCATATTCCAAACAGGCATCCAACTTCAACAAGCCATCGATTGGGCCCAAGGAGGCGGACAAGAATGTGCGCAACTTTAGCGAGGAGCAGCTGCGTGCCGGCCAGAATGTTATTTCCCTACAGTACGGCTCCAATAAGGGCGCCACCCAGTCGGGCATTAACTTTGGCAACACCAGGCACATGTAGACGCTGCAACTTCTCTCTCACACACACACAACACAACACAACACAACACACACATTCCGCAGTAAAGCCAAAACCAAAAGCTGACAATTTCCGTTTGGCCAAGTTTGCCGCACATTCCGCTAAAACAGAAAGAAAGTGTATTTATAAAAAAAAAAGAGAAGGAGTAGAAGGGAAAGTTTTAATTTGTATTTGAATTGATCATGATGGCATCAGACGTAATAACATAAATTACTTTTAATTTAATATTATTAAGTACCCAAAACGTACGGATGAGCTTTTAGAATGATTATAATTCTATTTTCAACAACAAATAACCACCTACTGCATTTTGGCACGATTTCAACAATATACAAATATATATACATCTATATAGAACCAGGAAGCACTCAATTAACGTGCCATGACCAGAATATGTGGATAACACATAAACGCAACGAATTGCCTTGTGGCTCAAGTGCCGCCAAATTTCAAATTTAACGTCTTTTTAAACGTCAAACACGACGTTTACAGAGTTGTTAAATAAAAACTAACCACCTGAATTTCAATCAATAGCTAAGCATTTAAAACGCATGTTAATCAATAATCAAAACAGTTTAAAACAAACATACTATGTATTACAACACATTTAAATGATATATATGTATTTTAAATGTTATTCAATGTTGAAAATAAATAATTATTCTTTTAACAACGGCGATTGATTATTTTTTAATATCGATATTTGGCGTTAGCGTGACAACAACTATCGCAGAAAAACTATCGATAACTGCATTGCGTGCGATCACACTGGCGGCACGCAAACAACCCACGCTGAGGCCAAACAAACCTTTCAAAGCATGGACAGTGCGATTTGTCGCATTTGCTTAAACTCATCTGTTACGCTTGTGCACATCTTTGCCAAGCGGCAGCAAATACACAAGGGCAAGCCGGAGCCATGCCTGGCGGATATGCTTAACGAGTGCGCCGATTGTCACATCAAATCCAATGATACACTGACTCAACACATTTGCCTGAGCTGCATACTGAGCGCACAAAATGCATTCCGTTTCAAGCGCATGTGTGAGGAGAGCTACCGGCAGCTGGTGGCCAGCGCCAAATGCAGCTTGCTCAATGGATCCAAGAAAGGGTTATGCATCAAGCAGGAACAAGAGATCACAGCTGACGAAGCGCCCAGCGAGATTGACTCTAATCCCAGCCAGAGACGCACACCAACGCCGACCAAAGTCAGCCAGCCACGACATGAGCTAAAGCGTCCAAGATCCACGATCAACCAGCGCCCGCGGCGTTCCAGTGGCAGCCGTCAAAGGACGACCACATCCTCACGACGCAGTCGCTCTCGTACACCCGTGCCCCTGCCCCTGCCCACTGCAAACAAAAGCAAACAAGATGAGTCTAAAGAAACGCAGAAAAGAGCCGGCGTCCAACAGGAACCAGAGCCGATCGCTGAGGAGGCCCAGCCCAGCGAGCTTAGCTCAAAGCCTTACAAGTGCCAAATGTGCGGCAAGCAATTCGCCCATATGAGCATTTTGAGCCTGCACAAGAAGTGAGTAAATGTGGCCACATAACTCGTACACATGTATCTCATTTGGAATGCTTCACAGATGGCACCTCGAAACCAAGTCCAGTGCCAGAATCATTGCCAAGCCAAAGTTGGACAAGAAAAGTAACCGATGCACCATTTGCGAAAAGAAATATGCAACCAATCAATTGCTCAGAAGACACATCGCGACACACAGCACGGAACGTCCATATGCGTGCACCATCTGCCCGACATCCTTTCGGCTGGTCACCAATCTCAAGAGGCACATGCGCAACCATACGGGCGAACGTCCCTTTAAATGTCCTTGGTGTGCCGAATCCTTTGCGCGCAGCGACTATTGTCGCAGCCACATGGAGAAGGCTCACAGTGGTCGAACGTTTCCCGGCAGATTGTCGTAAGTAGCACAATTCCATCGTCCTCCTTGTTTATCAATGCATCAATTTCATTTGCAGCCGAAAGTAGTCGTAGTCAAGGGAGCCACATTGCCGCAATACGGTTGAAGCAGCAGACACCGGATATCTTTGAGTATTCAAATTGAACAAAAATAAGGCAGCGTTAAAATGCTCCAATTTTATGCTAGCATGTAATATAAATTTGTAAAATACTATTAAAATATATAAAAATTGGCTTAAATTCGATAAATTGGTGCAATGAATTCAAATAACATCGATACACTGTCTATCGGCATTCTTACATCTCTATTATGCAGCTGGGCTCAGGGTTAGGAGAAGCCAAGGTTGTCAATGGGTGTGCAACTCTTAACTCTCACTGCAGTCAAGGACTCATTTCAAGGAGTTTGTTTTCGAAACAACTATAAATTTCAAAGAAAATTGCATAAAAAGTGCTTTAACAAGATGTAAAATGCGTGCATAGCTGTGAAAAACAACAAGTTGTAAGTGACATGGACAACTAGCAACATGCAATGTGTGACGTCACATGCACAAGCCGCAAATGTGCATCAGCGCAACACGTAACCTTGGCCTTGTTTGCTTCATGTAAATTGCAAGTGCGCAAATAGCGTCAAATTTTTATCTCTATATATAGATATATATAAAATATGGACGCCGACAGCAGTTCCCGTTCACCAAGAGGTCCGTATTGTGTTAAATATGATTATTAAGCATATTGTGCATACAATATTTTTGTTGTTTTTTTTCTAGTGACAAATTGTGTGAAAAGTGATTTACAATGGAACGCAACGAAGCATTTCCGTAACCCGTAACGCCAGACGCCCGAGCTAATCAAGAGGAATTGAATGAAAACTTATGAACACGCCGAGCCAAACAACACGCATAATACTGAAAATGCCCTTTTTAATGTGTATTGCATGTAGATACAAGGCGGCGTCCACGCCAAAGGGAGAAGATGCCCTATTTCGCAGACGAGCTGCGGGAACGGGATCGGGTGCGCAATCTGCGCAAGCTGAAAACAACACAGAAACGCACACCAACACCACCGCCCAGAGAGCGCCGCTCACGCCATGCACGTACGCGTTCCCGCTCCAGAACCCATTCGGCGGAGCAGAGCCGCTGCCAGCGACGGCGTTCCAGAAGCTATGTGCGTCATCGCAGCGGCAGCCGCCATCAGACCTCATCCAGCTGCTCGCGTCGCCGGCATAGTCGCAGTCGCAGTCGCAGCCGGAGTCGCTCACGAACGCCACGAATTATAACGGTGCCGGTGCCAGTGCCTGCGGCGGAGTATTCTTCGTATGCCTACGTGAGTAGCTCAGGTGTTGCTCCCTTCGCGTCAATCAACTAATGAACTCTGTTTTACAGGGCTGGCCGCCGCCGCCGCCGCGTCCACACTTTAGTGCCATGTATGGCGCGCTGCCGTTTGGCATGCAGCCGCGTCCTTTGCCTCCATACTTTGCGCCCTATGCGCGAGCTCCGACGTTTCGATACCGTGCCGGGCCGTTCCGTCCGCATCCGCGCTATAGCTATAGGAATGATCGGCAGGCGCCGAATTGAGTTTTTAAACATTACATAATTACAAATTTATTTACTCAACTGCTATATACATTCGTGTGTGGGTTTTGTACATTCAATTAATAAATAAAACACATGAAACTAATAAAAAAAACATACAAAAATATTGCATTTCTTGAACGGGTCTTGAAGGAGACTGAGAGAGAGTGGGAGAGGGAAGGGGGTTGGAGGGGGGGGGGGGTTAAATTTGATTAAATCAGGCGCTAGAATGTCGCAACTAAAAGTCACACGAGGAGTAGGCTAATCACGTTCAACTTAACGACTACTTTATGCCGACTTTATACATGCACATTTACACATACATACACACATACATACATACATATATTGTATGCATATGTATGTATGCATTGTTTTGTTTAGAGAGAACTAACACTAGCGGTACTCCTAAGATTCATATGTATATATATATATATAATAGAGCACTATGTCAATAAATTATAAAAAATATATATATAGATCATTTTTGCTGTTGTGCCGACACAGTTGTTTGTGTTAAAGCTCGACCCGAGGACGAAACTGCAGCCGTAACGGTGGATCCCGAAAACGCCAACGCGTCACATAGACAAATTTCAACGTATGATCCTTGCCCAATAGCTCCTCATTACACAGTATATCGATCTGTAAGCGAAACGCATGCGTTACGTATAATGTATCGCCGTATATCGAATATCGATTAATCGATGCTCACCTCACGATACTTTTCGATGCCGTTGAGTATCTTCTTGGCGACCAGCTTTTTCAGATGCGTTATCGTCGCCTGCGAACTGCAGCGTATGAAGCGTCTTTGCAGATTCTTAAAGTTATTGCTAATGCATTCGAGGCACACGTTGACCTGTTCGTCGAGACGATGGAAATCGGATTCGGCATGCGCGTCCATCACCTTCTCGTTGTCGTCCTCGTGATTTTGCGTTATATCCTTGGGGCATGGCATATTTCGGCTCTTGTAGAAGTCACGTTCACGCCGCGATTCATCTACAGGTAGGCGGGAGAGACAGAGAGAGAGAGAGCGAGAGAGGGAGGTAGAGGGGTCAGCTTAATACACTGTTTGACAAATGTTTGGTTTTTTTGTTTAGTTGACGCTACCTTCTTGCAGCTTTGGCACCAATTTGTACACAATGTCCTGCATGGTGCGATCGAAGCTGATATACTGCAGCGGGTGTGACTGATGTATGATGTTGTCGCAGGTGGGGCATGTCTTTTTCTCCTCCAGATGCTTGACCAGACAGCTTTTGCAAACTGTAAAACGGGACCATGCAAAATATCCATCAATATATATATATAAATGTATGTATGTATGTATGTGTGTGTGTGTGCGTGTGTTCGTGATTGAGTTAAATGTACATGTATATGTATGTAGAGTCTGCAAGGTTCCTCAACATTCGTTTGTTGTATTTGCTTATGTTAAAAAAAAGAAAAGCGTAGGATTAACTTTTGGCGTTGCCAGCCTTTGCCACACACAAAGTGCTCAACTCCCACGCGATCAGCCGGCAACGTTGGCGACGTCTGCCAGCACCGGAGCATAACAGGGCTTTGGCTTTAGTTTTGGGTGTTTATTGAAAGTAACGGTAACCGTTCGGCGGCTTAACATGACTGCGCGAACCGGTGCAGGTGCTGCCGCCACTTGAACTGTAGCTGGCAATTAGCAAAGGCAACTCACATGTGTGCAGACACTCCGTCACTGTGGTCGCATCTATAAAGTAACCGCCGCAGATTTTACACGTTATATGCGGATTGATGGTCTTTAGCTTGACGCGCCGCTCCATTTTGGCCGTTTGATTAACAATTTCTTATGAAATAAATAACTCGCTCGCATAAAATTCTCTCCCTCTCTCGGCGAACAATTTGTTGTCTTTTGCGTTTGTTGGCGAAAAATCGCTTGCCTATTGCGCCAAATTGTGCGCAATCGTATATTCAACACTCAACATATTGTTGCACTTCTTAGCTATACATTTAAACGGTATTTTAGCTATTATTTTTAAACAAATAAAAGAAATCACGACAAAATTGTGTGTACGTGTACGTGTGTGAGTGTGAGTGTACGTGTACATTGAACATTGTGAATGGCAATTTTCATATCGTTATCGTGCACGGTGAATGGCCATTATTCTAATGGCGCTGCCAGATGTTTCAGTAAATATACCCTAACCGAAACGTTGTCAACTAATTTAAATGTCTACGCTACGCTATGCTAAATCGAACTATTCAATATTATATACAAATAATTAAATATAAGCCTCTAACTGCACTGGTAACAGCGATTGGCAATTAATCGACCCGCCACCACATTACCTGCTGCCCTAATCCGCAAAACTGTTAATTCAAATTTCTAGCTCACCTAATAACTAACAGCAAATAAATGCAATGCTTTAGCTTTTGTTAATAACTTTGCGTTTAACTGCACAAAGCAACTTTTGCTTGTTTTTTTTTGTTTACAAAAATTCGTTACATTTTGCCTGCTGTTAGAACAGTGTGTGCTGTTATGTTATTTAGCTGCTGTTATGTTATTAACATTTCAACAGAATACCGCAAAAAATACCACAATATTGATTTTTGGCACTTGTTGCTTGCTAATAAATAAGTTTTGCGTGCTTGTTTTCAGCTAATTAAATCCGCATACCTGAATTAACAAGTGCTGCTGTCAGTTTACAGTCAAGCAACAACAACAAATAACTTGATTTCAGGGCAAAAACCCCGCAACAACAGTTTAGTCAGAAAAAGCTTGGCTCGACGTGTTTTTGAGTCATTTTGCCGCTCACTTAACAAGTTGTTGCCTTTGTTTTTACCGAGTTCAGTTGAGTTTAAACCGTCAAACTGGCAGCACGCATTATGTCCGCGGGTCGCGTTGTCATCTATGGAGGCAAGGGCGCACTGGGCTCCGCCTGCGTCGATTATTTCAAAGCCAATAACTATGTAAGTCTCAAAGCCTTTCACTTTTACTTTTACTTGCAATTGCGATTGTCTAAAACAAATGTAACCTTCAGTGGGTGGGCAGCATTGATCTGAGCGAAAACGAGCAGGCGGACGCCAGCGTTGTGGTGCCACGCGATGCCAGCTGGGAGGATCAGGAGTCGTCTGTCATCTGCAAAGTGACCGAATCCCTGGCTGGCCAAAAGCTGGACGCTGTCATCTGTGTGGCCGGCGGCTGGGCCGGTGGCAATGCCAAGAAGGGTAACTCATCCAAACGAACTTAACAAATCAGCTTGGCTAACACTTCTCTTGATCTGCATCTAGATCTGGCCAAGAGCGCGGATCTGATGTGGCGCCAGAGCGTCTGGAGCTCTAGCATCTCGGCCGCCTTGGCCGCACAGCATCTCAAGGCTGGCGGCTTGCTGGCGCTGACGGGCGCCAAGCCCGCACTGGCTGGCACGCCCGGCATGATTGGCTATGGCATGGCCAAGGCGGCTGTGCATCAGCTGACACGCTCGCTGGCCGGCGAGAATTCGGGCCTGCCCAGCGATGCGCTCGTCGTCTCCATACTGCCCGTCACACTGGACACGCCCATGAATCGCAAATGGATGCCGAAATCCGATTTTGGCAGCTGGACGCCACTGACAGAAGTGGCTCAGCTCTTTGGCAAATGGACCCAGAACCAGGAACGCCCCAAAACGGGCGCTCTGCTGCAGCTGATCACAAAGAACGGCATTACGGAGCTCATTCCGGCGGAGTAGGCAGCGCGAACAGCCGACTTTCACATTGTTATACACTATATATACTATATATAATGCTTGTGCTTAAAACAATAAATAAATAGCAGAGAGAAGGGAGCAGAGAGAGAAGTTATCTGCGGGTTGCCTAAGCATCTTAGCATCTCCTTTTCAGACTCAACTCAATATAGAATCTAGTTAGCCGACCTTGTGTGCATATTCATTATAAATAATATATCTGAATAAACATGAGTTTTCTGATAATTAACTGAGATTTCGTGGGGAGGAAGCTGCATAATATAGAATTGTAGCAGCAACTTGTTGCTGAGCTTAGTCAAGAAATCTTGAATCTCTTCAGGGGTCAAAGTTTATACAATAGATAACATAGTGAACCGATCCGATTGCCGCGGGCATAAGTGCTTGCCACAGCCTAAAGTCAGACTTAAAACTAAGAGACACAGATATAGACAGCTACTGTTCAGATATTTACTATATATACTGCTAGCAGATGTCACATATTGCTCGACAAAGTTGGAACAGCCTTTGCCAGGGGCATGGGCAACGTTTTGCGCTCGCTTTCGTTGAATGCTTTTCTTTCCGTTTTTGTTTACAGCATTTGGGATAACCTATTGAACCGTGATAATGCAGCGCTACGCTTACGTCTTTTTCTTCTTCATGATTTTCATGAAGAGCACCATGGCTAGAAGGAGGAGAAGTTAGATTGGATTTGCAATCAAAGTCAACTCAAGATGTCTCACCTATAAAGACGACAATAACGAAGACAATCATTAGCCAGAGCCAGCATTTGTAGGCCTTGCGGGAGTGCTGCTCCAGCTTGTCGGCCTCCTTGCCAAGCGAACTGATGTTGCGATCGGCCATGCCCGTGGAACGGGACACCACCTCCGTATCGCGTTTTATAATACGATTCGCCGTTTCGGTTTGCTCCTTCAGGTTGCGCGTCAGCGATAGCATATGCTCCGTTATCTTCTCCTGCGCATTGTTGTAATACTTGACCGCCTCGTTCATGTTGTTGCCGTTGGTCGTCTCGCCAGGCGCTGGCTCATCCGCGCCACGTCGTCGGCGCAGCGTGTCCGCATCTAATGAAGAGAGAGAGAGAGATGGGTAAACTGGTTAATAAGTGAGTGGAGTTGGCTGTGCTTGGCTACCTTGCAGCAGATCCTTGCGCAGCTCGTTGTGCCTGGCTGTGTTCTGCAGCTGACGCATCTCCTGGAGCGCAATTTCGCTGGCCGAATCCGAACGCTTTGAAGTTGCATGCGAATTGTTGTTTGTGGTGTAGCCGGTGGTCAGCTTGAGGGCAGCCAGGCGTTCCTTATAGCTGGGTATTCGCGCCGCGCTTTGTGGACTGTGCAGGAGTAGGAGGGAGATTGTCTCATATATATTTCGTTGAGATTCACGTACGCAAAGATGCACTCACTCGTCCATTGCCGCCAGCTCGGCAACCATGGTGTCAAGGGATTTGAGAAACTTTTGCAGACGCCAAAAGTTGTCCTCGCTTTTGGCGAGATCCTCGCAGTTGGCCAGCAGCGTTCGAATGTTTACATTTAATTTCGTGGCCATTTTATATATAAAAACATTAAACACTTAATTATCGCTAGCTAATAACACAAATCTCTGTCTATCGATAGCAGTTTTGTATTTTGAGCTATCGATAACTTGACATCACGCGCTATGTATGCAGCGCCAAGCACGATCATCAAACATAAACTGCAAGCAAACAGTTTTTTTATTTATCATTTATATAATATTCATTATTATATTGTATATCCTAATCAATTGTTAATTATTGTTTTGTTTTCGTTGCATAATTTGCATATATCATTTGCGCCCGCAACCAATTTCGTGTGAGCTGCGTACTAGGCGTGTGCAAACAGCTGAATACCAGCCAAATGCAACGCTTAACCGCGGCGCTTGCCAACACTCCGTCGCGACGTTCGGACGTAGAAACGCAAAGAAAACGGCAGTTTGCTGGAACAATTTTGCTCCGTGAATTTTAATTCAATTTAAAATTGCTGCAATACCGCCAAGTGTGTACGTACAAGAGGTGCAGACGAAGTAACGCGCCGGTTAGTCTTAAGAAGTGCATGTTTCATCAAAAAGTGAATAGAAAGTGTGGCACAGCATACAAGAAATGTAAATGATAAAAAGCCAAAGAAATGCGAAAAATATGTACATACATACATATGTACGTTCGCATACATATGCACGTATGTGTGTCGTGCGAGAAAGAGTCAGAGCCATGAGTGAAGCACATTAAAGTTAATAATGTACATAAATAACAGTGCAGTTTAACAATCCAGCATAATTACATACATTATACATAATATACATAACTGTATTTAAATATTTCCGCAATAGCATTAATAATTGGAATGCTTGCCGCTGAGAAGGGGATCATTTTGTGTGAGTGTGTGTGTGTGAGTGCCGTGCGTGTGTGTGAGTGCGCATATATTAATATGTATATGTATGCAAACGAAAGGAACAGAGGAAAGTCGCGGCATCTGTGTAAAAAATAACATAATTACATACGAAATGAAAAAAATCAAAAACTTAAAACGGCCACTTGGCAGAATTGAATATATGTATATATATTTATATTAAAAAAAAAAGAAGTATGTGTACCACACATTTGAAAGAAAACCTACGAAAGTGGTTGCTCGCGTCACTGCTACATGTGAATGTGTGTGTGAGTGTATGTATATCCACACATAGGTGCGTTTGCCATGGTTGGTGCGAGTCGCGCGTGTATGTGTGCGTGTGAATGCGAGAGGAATGCTGTCTATGTATCACGTTTCGCACTCTATATGCATCAAGATGTATATGTGTGTGTGCATAGTGTTGTATAGTGCATAAAACATGAAGCACACAGATTTGAATTCAGATTCTTTGAAATTTTTGTCGGATTTTAATCCATTGCGGCAGATCATTGACACCCGCCGCAACTCCTCCCACTACAAACACAAAAAACCGTAGGCATGGTTCATTCGCCAAAACGACCAACTGGCCATTTTGTCTGCGCCACAGTCAAGCAAATCGATCTGGTTATTCTCCGGTTTTGAAAAAGTTGCATCCCTAAGCAGGCAGCATTCAAGTAGAGGGCGATGCACAACAGAGACAGCAAGACAGAGAGCGAGAGAGAGAGTGTATGTGTGTGTGCTTGTGTGCGAGTGAGCGTCCGTATAATAAACATGTACACACATACACAAGAAAACAAACTTGTTTGGACGCGCGGTTCTCTCACGCTCGCTCTCTCAAACTCTCTGCCTGACGCTCACTTGCAAAATGAGCAAAACGCCGCTATTCGTTGAGAGCGAGAGAGAGAACTCACAAATCTGCTTTTGAGTGGGCTGCTGCTGCTGTTGCTCGCTACTCGCTGCTGCCGCTGTCCGTAGTTGTTGCTCTCTTCTGGCAACTACTCAACGCAAAAGCAAAGCTAGACGAGCGAAATTTCCATTGTGTGTGACGATGTCGCGTCGTCGTCGTCGTTGTCGTTGTCGTTGCCAGCCAGAAGCAGCAGCAGCAGCAGAAACGGTCTCGCAGTCGGTTTAAAATTTTCTGACTCGTCATTTGGTGTTGTGCGAAAAGCGAGAAAAACGCAAAACATATATATATATATTCATATATATACGTATGCTCACATATTATTGAGTAATAAATTAAACAAAAATACTAATATATATATATTTAACGCGGCACAGAAGGCGGTGCAAGGTGCAACTTCTCGATACAAATTGATGAACAATATTTCAATCGAATCTTCCGACGCTGTCAACACTCTGTGTACGTGTGTGCATGTGTATGTGTGTATGTGCGTGCGTGCGTGCATGTGTGTTTGTGAGTTCCTTTTTAAGCACAAGCTCATTACAATTTACTATTACTCATCTGCTGCTGCTGCTGCTGCTTCCTACCTCTGCTTGAAAGAGAGCGCGCGAGAGGGGCAGAAAGAGTCGCAGCACGCAAACCGCAAATAACTTACAAATTGTATTGTGAAAAATCGAAATACCAAAAATGTATACAGAAAAATGTATTTTAAAATGCATTTTTTGTTTTTGCAAATGTCGCAACAGCAAGAAACCGTTATAAGCGACCAGCTGCAGCAGACGGTTAAAAACGACGCATTTAAAAAAGAATACATATTTACTCGATTTGTATAAACTGTAGCTAAAAAACTACCTATATTAGTTTTTTCCGTTTTTTTTTTGTCTACATCAACGATTAACGAAAACTCGACGACTTTCATCGTCGTGCGTCGGTGTTTATATGTATGTATGCATGCATGTGTTTGTGTGTGTGACTCGTTCGCTCTTTCGCTGACACACACGCACGAACACATAGAAGTAGCCCAGTCGTTGTCGTGCTCGTCACGTCGAATGCGCGCCTTGAAAAAGTCAATTTTTATTGTGTGCGTGTGTGTGTGTGTGCTCGCTCTCTCGCACTCTCAGTGTCGAATGAATGGACAGTGGTTCAGCTCCATGAAGTGAGAGAGCGTCAGAGAGTGGAGCATAGATGAACGTGTGTGCTGCTGCGGCCGTCCACCCTTGTAATTGCCGCACATTTACGTGCCTGTGTGTGTGTGTGAGAGCGCAGCAGTGGCAGCAACAAATAAGCAGTAGCAGACCTCATAAAAAACAATAAGACAAAAACGTTAAAAATACAAAATTGTTTTTCATTGTCGTATGCGAGTGTGTTTCGGTGTGTGTGTGTGTGTGTATATGTGTGTTGTGAGTGCAATTCGCAGGCCAAGTCTCTCTCTCTCTCGCTCGCTCGCGCTCTGCTATAAACTTGACGGCGATGATGTTGCTGATTTCGAAATTGATTTAACTGAACGTGTTTTTTCGGTTCGGAAACGCGCGCACTAAACGATATATGCAACAACTACAACAACAACAACAATATTAATAGTAATAATCTTCATGTCTCTCTCCCTCTCTCTCTCTCTTTCAGTGCAGTAAATAATAACACGCACACACACAACAGCAAAACAACGAAAAATGTAAAAGTGCCGCAGTATGTGCATGTGTGTGTGTGCTGAGTGCATACAAAATAGATAGAAAATACAACAAAAGAAAGAAAAGAAAAAATTATTAAAAATACGTGTTATAATTAATTGCAAATGTGCGTTTTTGTTCTGCGATAAAAATTTCAAGTAGCTGCAAACTGCAACAGCTGCAAAATCCACAGCAAAAATAAAAGTGCACTCAAAATAACAACAACAACAACAACAACAGCGAGCAACGCAATTTGTGTCTCTGTGTACGTGTGTACGTGTCTGTGACTGTGTCTGTGTGTACGTGTTTGTCTCTCTCTCGCTCTCTCACTGTATCTATTGTCATATAAGAAGAATCAATACAACAACGACAACAAGAAGAAGAAGAGGAGCAGCAGCAAAAAATCCAATCAAAGCAAATGTGCAACAACATACAAAATACTTAACATATATATGTATATATATGTATATATGTGTGTGCATATATATTTTCTAAAATTTCCCACACAATATCCCATACATACATCTTGAGAAAATGAGGTGCTGCTGTTGTGCAAATATAATAAGCCAAGAACTATGACGCATCAAAATCATCAGACAAACGGCGCAAGTTTGGAGGACTGCCATACAAACTTTTATGCCTTGGTAAGTGCTCAAAAACTCACCTACCCCTTCCCTTCTCTTTTCATTTTGCCATTTCCGTTCTTTGGCCAATTGCTTAGATCTAGGTCAGTGACAATGCAGCACAGGGTGTTTCTGGTTGTTTTTGCCCGCCCACACACGCCGATCGACAGCTGTTTATCGATAGACACCACACGGCCAGTGTGGCCGGCCATTGATTAAGTCTCTCTCTCTCTCTCTCACTCTCTTACGCTTACTGGCGCGCTAAATAACGTTATTTTCACGCACAAAAGCGGAACTATGCATAGATACAAAACAAGTCAAAGAAAATAAAAGAAAAGAAAAGGCAGCAACAATACAAATGTATGCGTGTGTGTGTGTGTGTGTGTGAGTATGCGTGTGTATGCGACAACTGGCCGGCCATAACAGGTTCTTCTGCGGCGTCTAGTTGGCCGCCGGGTCGCGCCGTTTCTTGTTCACAAAAAAAAGCGGCGCTGCCAGTGGCATATTTCTTTAATGAATTTCGCTCAGAGACAGAGTAGACAACGGTAACAGTAAAAGACACCGAGTTAAACGCTTAAGAAAAGCTCAAATGCGACGTCGACGTCCGAAGTCAACGTGCTGCACACGCCCGCCGTTGGCCCATAACGTTGTAAAAAGCAGAAGCAGCGCTGCTGGCAGCGACAGAGGCCGACGCGCCAACGAACGCTATACGAAATAACGAAACAATAACAAACGCGCAAAACTTTCTCTGAGCGAGTAAAGTCCAACGAGAGCGGCATAGTGAGCGCGCGCGAGAGAGAGAGAGAGAGAGATATAATAAAAGCAAAAGAAGTCAGCTTGAACTTGGGAGGCACGCGCGCGTGAACAAACACTAGTAAAGCGTGTCACAAGAATGATAACAAGCACATGCAGAGAGCGTGCATGCGTGTGCATGTGCATGTGTGTGTGTGTGCCAGAGAGAAAGGCGCACCAAGATATTGTGTGGCCCAAAGGCGGCTAGGAACGAGCGCAAGCAGCGTAGCCGCCAGCGCATGCAGAGTGTCGATTGAGCATGAAAATTGCAAAGATACGCATATGTATGTGTGTGTGTGTGTGTGTGTGTGTGAGTGTGCAGCGAGACGACGCTGACGTCGGCAGATAAAAGACAGCGACCTGAACGTTATTTGTTGCTGCTGCTGCTGCTGTTGACAATGTTGAAAAACGTTCAGATGCTAAATTAGTTTGATTAGGCCGAAGTTGGGGAAAATATGTGAATGCGATTTCACAGCCAAAAGTAACTGCCAATACATGCATGTGTATGTAAATAACACACACACACACACACACACACACACACACACAACAGTAAAGTAGCGAGTAGCATAAAAACGAGAGCGAAAAATGAAAACACAAATCGCGATGCCCAAAACGAGAAATACGAAAATCAAGCAAAGAATGTGGAACGCAACGAACTGTTGTTGTGCTGCTTTTGCTGTTGTTGTTGTAGTTGTTGCTGTTGTTGCTGTTGATGTTGGGGGCGACGCGCTCGTTCGATGTTGTCGGCAGCCATTCGTGGTTTGGGGAATACCTTTTTGCCTGCTTGCGCGCTGCTCTTGTTGTTGTTGTTGTTGTTGCTGCGGCTGCTCTGTCTGCGCGCGCGTTTGTATGTGTGCGTGTGCGTGTTCGTGTGAGGTGCAGTTATTTGGCCATTTTTTTTTGTTGCTGCATGTGTGAGTGTGTGTGTGTGTGTTTTTTTTGAATTTGTGTTCTGCTTGAGGCTCTCTTGCGCTGTGTTGTCTTTGGCCATTGATTTGTGCTTGCCACAGCAACAAAAACAACAACAACAACAACAATAGCAACAACAACTAGTACGACAAGTTGTTGCAAAGCTACAGCTCAACGCAACGGAAGCCGCCAATGACGAGCCAAAGATACGACCCTAGCCACTTTTTTTTTCTACAGTCTTTGTTTTTGCTCTCTCTCTCTCTCTCTCTCTCTCTCTCTCTCTCTCTCTCTCTCTCTCTCTCTCTCATTTTTCTTTTGCTGTTGTTGTTGTTGCTTAGGTTTTCTTTTATTCGTCGTCTTCTGCTTTGGGCTCTTCTCATGTTTTAAGCCTTTCGTTTTTGTTGTTTCTGTTACAAGTGCAGCAATGCTTGTTTGTGTGTGCCGCATTTTGCAACACTGCCATGCACAGTTGTTTTCATTTGAATGGCTAGCTTTTAGCTGGAAATCGTTGCGTGTAGGTTTTGTAAACAAACTGTTGTGGGAGTTGCTTTAGTTAAATGCAAATGCTTAAATACAGTAAAGATACGGTAGAGTGAACAGAAGAAGAGCGAATCGACTAACTAGAAGATACCCCAATCCAGTCCGAATACGTCATGTTGACATTTTTAAAGCTAGCCTTTGTCCAGTTAAGTTTAGTAAAACTAAATTGAAGAAAACTCTACGATCCGAAGTAGTTACAGTTATGCATTTTGACTTTTGCAATGTCACTTTAAGAAAGTTGACACGTTAACCAACACTGCCAGCTGCTAGCCAAAATCAGCTGTTTTGTGTTGTTTTTACCGAAAACGTTTCGCTAGAAATTTACCTAATTGTGACTCAGCTGCCTTTTACTTTTAGTTAAATATTATTAACATATAAAGCAGCTGTCGAGAAATGTAAACAAAGCCACAAACAAACAGCTGTTTGTCTGTTTTCTTATCGCCGCACACATTTAACAGGCAGTTAGTCGAGTGAGGTTAAGTTGAACATAAGTTAACAGCAGGAAGAGTTCATACTATCGAATAGCTACTGTGGCTGGGGCCAACTTATCGATTGTGCAAATGAATATATATAACTCTGGTTGCGCTTATCGCGCTCGATATTATTATAATAATGAAGCAATAAATGATAACAACAAGTCAACTAACAAGCACACCTTCCCTCTCTCTCTCTCTCTCTCTCTCTCTCTCTCTCTCGCAGACTGATTTGTGTGGAATTAAATGGCGCAAGTTCGTTAATGGCGAACGTCCGAATGCGTCAAGCGATCCACTCGCCGATCCGATCTTGCGCTCCTATTCACGATGCATGCAGGCGGATATGCTGTGCGTTTGGCGGCGCGTTCAATCCACCAAACAGGACAACACCGATCCGAATGCCTTAAACTTTGAGATTACCACATCGACAACTGTACACCCGCCTCTATCGCTGGCCGCCGCCAAGGAGCTATGGATCTTCTGGTATGGCGAGGAGCCGGATCTCAGTGAGCTTGTCGATGCGGAGCTCCTCAAAATAGCTGGTAAGTTCAAAGACAACCAATTAGATACAATTTATAAGACGATTTGCTACGAAATCATATATCAAATACGTTTCTCACCCATTTTCCATGCGCAGTGGTGGATTCCTGTAAATCTCCAAAATGCACAGCTTTTTATGTAGACATAATAGTTCTGCCACGACTGTAGAATTTATCAAAGCATATATTTATAAATTCGAAAAGTTAGACCTTGCCTTGAGCGCACATTTTGCACGTGTTTAGGTGAAAATAGGAAAATCTCCAATGAATTTGTGTAGAGTTTTTTACATGAAAAATCAATAAGCTGTCGATTTCAAACAATTTCAAAAGCAATTTACCAACACTGCACTTTAGTGTTCAATTGAAAATTGGAAAATCTCCAATGAATTTGTGTAGAGATATTTACATGAAAAATCAATAAGCTGTCGATTTCAAAAGGAATTCACCAACACTTCACTTTAGTGTTCAATAACATCACAACAAATATTTATGTGCCCAGCTCTAACAGTCTTAACTGTGCATTGATGATCAGTCAATAGAAACCGTTATATGTATATAGACACATACATGCATGTGTGTGTGCGTGTGTGTGTGTGTAGAGTACATGCATAAGTAATGCAAAATGTTGAGAACGTCCGTTACATTATGAGCTTTTTATAAATTTAATAAAACTTCAAGGCCGCAGCGCGTGCAGCGCAGCAAAAAATTTGTTGTACCCATGAGACAAACCAAAACAATACACACAGACAACACACACACACACACGCATACTAAGAGACGCGCGCGCTCGCGTGCATGTGTGCATGTGTGTTTGTGTGCCTTGTAGCTGTTGTTTCTCCAACACATCATTCACATGGCGTGCTCATCGTTTGTCAGCAGCGGCAGCGGCAGCAGAACGACGTCGACGTCTGCTACCCTACCCCTCCCGCATCCCCCCACCATGCCGCCCACAGCGCTGTGGTCAGCCTACGCTTGAAACGTCACCTGTGTCATTTGCAATGTTTTTGTTTCGTTTCGGCTCTCTTTATGGTGGGCGCGCTCACGCTCGCTCTCTCTCTCTCTCTGTGGCGCTCTCGCTCTCTTGGTATTTACCTCGGCCGCCTTGGCGTTTCTGCAGCTGCTTTTTAAGGGGTTGTTTCTTCACACTCGCTAACGTTGACGGCCTCGAGAACTGTTCCCACTGCTACTGCCTCTGCCCCTACTGCTGCTGCTGCTGTTTGGCTCTTATCAGTAGTTTTTGCGGTGTGGCTAATATTTTTTGTAGATTTAAATTTGCCTTTTTGCTTCGCACACATGCCCGCCGCCGCTATCTGGTACCACAAATTATCAGGCTATCTCTTTAAGTTTTTGGTGTCTCCCTCTAGTGGCAAATTCCACTACTAAAACACATACATACGTAAGCGTAAGCGTAATCGTAACGTAGTTAGGCCACCCCGTTTGATTGCTCGACGTCATATTGCGGCCATTCGACTTTTACAGTTAGCTGCTGTCGACGATGACGCCGGCGTTAGAGTTGAATGCGCTGTCGCTGTCGCTGCCGCTGCTGCTGCGGCTGTGGTGAAATTGTTGATGACCCCGACGTCAACGGCACGTTGTTGTTTTTTTTTTCTTTAATGACAAGGACATTGACTAATTGCATTGACATTACATTGTCTCGATTTGCGCGCGTGTGTGTGCGTGTGTGTGTGCGAATTCTCTTTTCTTTTTATAGCCTTTTACTTTGCCGCAAACAACAAACAAAAAGCTGTGCGCTTTCTTTGCGGCTGTGTGTGTGAGCATATGTGTGTGTGTGTATGTGCGTGTGAATGAAACCAGAGAGACGAGACAGTCTGTCGTAAGTGCCTGCTGCTGCTGCTGCCGCTGCTGCTGCCCAGTGAAAAGTGGCAACGCAGCAGAGCGAACGTAATGATATTGCTGTATTTGTTGTTGTTGTTGTTGTACAACTTGCCACAGCTTTTGTTGATTTTGGGCCGCAAAAAAAAACAAGACTTCACTACATTGGACACACACATACACACACACACAACGGCAGCGCCTCTTTATTGCGTGCGTCTCTTTTCAACACTTGCCGAGAAATGTTTTTTCGCTTTCCAATTTTGTTTATAACGGTTGCCCAGAACAATACGAACTCGAATTCACCAATTCCTTAATATTTGGCCTGTTTTTAGCATGGAACACGATTAGATATTATCGAATAACTTGTCGCTACTTGTTGTCATTGCTGTTGTTGTTGTTCTTGTTGTTCTTGTTGTTGTTAATTTCACCATAAACAGCTGTCACTTTGTTGCTGCTTTGGCATTCTACGTGTGCGTGTGTCTGTGTCCGTGTGTGTGTGTGTGTGTGTGTTTATCTCTCGCTCTAGCTCGTTTGCTCTATTTGTGTGGAGCGCGCGCTTCACACAATTGGGGCTAATAATTATGAGCTCACAGCGCCAATGCATGTGTACTTGTTTGTCTGTGTGTGTGTGTGATTGTGCGCTCTTTTCGTTTGTTCTCTTTTGTGCGCGTTTTTTGAAACTGGTTTTTAAGCTTAATTACAATGCGCTTTGTTGTTGCTGCAAAATTTTGCATTCGCTCCGTTTTGCTGCTGCTGCTGCTGTTGTTGTTGTTGTTGTGCTTATTAACTAATTTTCAGCCCGTGCCGTCGCTGAGCCATAGATTATTGACCTTGATTAAGTAAATAAATACAACGGCAAATGTTGTATTTGATTTTTGCATTTCAACTAACGTTTGTTGCACCTTGCACACGCAATCTTCTAAAACAAGCTCAAGCTACCAAATTACACGCTTTATTGTTGTGAAATTATGGCGTACGCTTGTAAAATAATATCAAGGCATTGTAATTACCCACACACACACGCGCGCACGCACGCACATATATATACACATGCATGCGCACGTTTGTCATTGTTGGCCCGTTTGCACGTCATTTTTATTCGCCTCTTTTTTCGCTGTGGTAGCAAATTTTTAACCTAAAATAGCGTTTCAAGCACAAACACAAACAACAACAGCGAAAGGCTCTCTCACCTTGTGTGTGCATGTGTGTGTGTGTGTGTGTGTGTGGGAGAGCGCCTGAGCGAGCGAGTGCATGCTTTAAAAAACTAGCGGCACTTTTGCCCAAACAACAGTCACTCGCTCGTACGCTCGCTTACTCACTCACTCACTCACTCACTCATTCACTCACTCAGTCACTCACTCACTCACACTCCCGTCAGTTACGAGCGGGCAGCAACAGCGAATGTTTGCGCATATGTAGTACACACATTCTCACAGTTACAGTCACACTCTGTTACGTACTCTCACCCACTCTTTCGCTCTCTCCCTCTCTATCTCTCTGCTGCGCTCTTCATGTCTATCTTTGTCGCGCTGCGTGAGTCGCTGTCGGCAGCAACATGTGCACAAACCACACGTGCTACAAAAAAACACACAGATACATAGTAGGTATGTCTGTCTGTCTGTCGTCTGTCTGTCTGCCTGTCTGTCTGTATGTGCATGTGTGTGTGTATTTGGAATTTGCATTGAGCAGCCGTCGTCATATTCCTGTTATGGCCGGGAATGAGATTCGGCGCCGCCTGCAGACGAACTCAAAGTCCGGCTAAAGAGCGGCGCGTCGGCAATTTCAGTATTGTATTGTGTTGTTTTTTTTTTTTTTTGAATTTTTGTTTGTTGCGTTTCTTTTCTGCTTCTGCTTCGTTGCGACTCGACTCTTTTGTTTGAAGCTCAGAAGCTGCAGCAGTTTTGTTGCTACCCTTTCACGTTCTTTCCCTCTCTCTTTCGCTCGCGCTCTCTCTTTCGCTATGTGTCCGTGCTGGTGCGGGCTTTTTGTGTGCGCTGTGGGTTTCGGCTATGGCCCCCGACTGGGCGGCGGCAAAAATAACAGTCACACACACACACATGCCCTAAACACATACATACACATAATCGTACATTGCCCTCTGGTAAAAATTTACGCTGATCTCATTGAAAGAAGGTACACACACACACACACAAGCAGGCTTGTAACAGCAGCAGCAGCAACAAAAAATCCACCAACAGCATAAATATCCAAAGCCCAGCCTACGCCACTGCCTCTGCCTCTGCCACTGCCTCTGCCACTGCCTCTGCCACTGCTGCTGCCTCTGCTACTGCCTCTGCCTCTGTCCGCTGCCAACGTCGCGGTACTCGCTGCTTTTTATACTTTTTTCACTCACGCTCTCACGCTCAGTCGCCGGCCTGCGCTCGCAGCACTCTTTGCTTTTGAGTGTGAATATGAATGGGCCGCGCTGCCTGCTGCTGCCTGCTGCTCTTCTCTTTTGCTTGTTGTGTTTTGTTATTTATAATGTTGTTTACCTTTACGTAATTATCTTTGCAACATTTGTTGGTGTTGCACTGTCTGCGCCTCTGGCTGGCCTCTTTCTTTTGCTTATTATTGTTCCCTCTACTGTGTGCGTGTGTGAGTGTGTTTTTTTTGTTTCTCCAAGCAGAGGGTGAACCGGCGCTGCTGCGCCCTGTAATTGTCGATGACGCCGCAGTCGCTGTCGCTGTCGCTGCTGCGTGTGTAGGTGTCTGGCATCGCTTGTGCGAATACGTGTGCGCGTGTGTGTGTGTGTGTGAGATGCTTGGAATTTTCCAAAAAATACTCGACTTCCCTACCCATTGCTCGTTCGTCGCCGTCGCATGGTAAATAGGCAACTTTTGTTGTTTTGTTTTAAAGTGGCATTTTGTTTGCGCTTCCGCTTTTGATTTGCCTGCCTGCCTGCCTGCCTGCTGGGGACCGTTTCTGCTTCTTCTTCTTCATGTTTCTCTTGCATTTACATATTCGCCTATTCTTCTTCTGCTGCTGCTGCTGCTGCTTGCACTAGCTGTAAATAACACTTATGTGTGTGTACGCGCTCTCTCGCACTCTCTTAATCCAGCCTGCCTCCTCTCCGCTCTCCACGCCTCTCTCTCTCACTCTCTCTCTCGCGCTGCGTGCGTCGCAAAACAATAACAAATTAATTGGCCTTTGGAAAAATTCTCGAAGCGCGCGTCGCTTAAATTTGCTGCCTAAATTTGCAGCGCGTCGTTGAATGTTTTGCGTGCTTCTTCTTCTTGCTGCTGCTGTTGTTGTTTATGTGTTGACACACACACACACACACACACACACACACACACACACACACACACACACGCACACTCGTGTATATATGTAGATGTAGTGAAGCACGCGTCCGCTTCTTGCTATTCAGTTATTTTCCGCCTCGTTCCACTTAAAATCTGAAAAAAAGAAGAAAAGAAAATGGAACGCTTTCAAATGTAAATAAACAAAACTGGAACGTTTTCCAATTATATGGGAAACGGAATTGAAGGAAGTAGCGAGTGCTCTTCAAGCTAGGCATGCAATTGATTTGCCAGTGTTGAGCAGCACATTGAGTGAGACAGTGTTGATAAGCTTTTGAACTTTTGAACTGTGCAATTAGGCCTAAAGCAGGGCTTCAATAAATCAAAATGAATAATTGAAAGCATTTATAATACAAATTAAATAAATAAAAGGTCCATTTCATATGTTAAAGCTTAAAGTTGTGGATTTCAATTTCGGAACAGTGTTGTACAGTGCAAAAAAAAGACGCACTTTTAACAATTCAGCGAGTGCAATTAAAGTTGAATTCTGCTAGAATTATTATAGTATATTGTTTTAATCGCAATGTACAGTAATTAACAGTGTTGCACAATGCAAAAAGTCAGGCTAGCTTTAAAGGAAATTGATTTTCTGCGATTAAAGCTCAATTCCTCTGGATTGTTTGAGTATATATATATAATATATTATAATAATAAAACTTACCCGATTCATCTAACGGTATTTGATGTTTTTGTTTTTCTTTTGAATTTCCAGCCAATCAATCGCTCTGGAATGGCACGTGGAAGGGCGAGCTGACCTACGAGTGCCGCTCGCTGCTTTTCAAGGCGCTGCACAATCTCATGGAAAGGTAAACGCATGAAACACCTGTCGATTTGCTTCTGCTTCAACTTTTGCCCTCCTCTTGCAGATTCGTGCTGACCAAGGACATTGTGCGCTTTGGCAAATGGTTTGTGCAGCCTTGCACTTCCAGCGATCGCCTGTTTGGACGCAGGTGAGTCACAAAGGGGGGGGGGGGGGGGGGGGTTAGGGGATGCACTTGCTCCGCAAATGGCGGCGCCCAATTGCTGAGAGTTGCTTCCGTTGGGCGTCCTCGGCATGCATCCCAGATTAAATACTTTCAGACTGGAACTCTGTGCGGCCGCATTCCAGCCTGTGCGCTCGCATCGTTCTTCCAGGCACATTGCCCAACGCAGATTTCTTGAGAGGATTGGCCGGATAATATTAACTGTGTTCTCTCTCTCCCGTAGCTCGCAGCACTTGTCCTTCTCGTTCACGTTCTTTGTGCATGGCGACACGGTCTGCGCCTCGATAGATCTGCGCGAGCATCCCGCCGTGCGGCCCCTGACCAAGGAGCATCTGGCGGAGGCAGCGGCTGCCTTTGCCGCCGCCAGCGGCCAAACATCGGGCACAGCACGTGGCCAACAGGATGCCGCCAGTGCGGGCACAGCCTCGCTGCCCGCCGGTTCGCCTCTGCTGGAGGCGGCGGCGGGCGCCGGAGAGAGGCCGTCGGCGTCGGCAGCGACAGCGACGCCAACGCAGGCACGCAAAGTGATGCTGGCGCCGTTTGGCATTGCGGCAATACTCACCGGCAACAGCTACAAGGCCAGCGATCCCATGGCCGAAAAGATACTCGAGGATTGGGCCTCGTTTTTTCCGCTGTGCAATAAGGACAACACGGATGTGCCACCCGTCGTTGAGGTGGTATCGGGTGAGTACTCCCCCCTCCCCCACCCCCTCCCCCTCTCTCTCACTGATTGCTTTGTTTGGCTTGCGCAGGTGGTCATAAGATGTATCATCCCACGAATTATGTACTAGTCACGGATCTGGACGACATGGAGCACATGGAGTTTGCCGAGCTGCACAAGGCTAACGATCAGGCGGCAGCAGCTGCGACGCCAGCAGCGACGCAAGCAGCAGCAGCGACGCAAGCGGCAGCAGCAGCAGCGAAGGACTCAAGGAAAGCGACAACGCAAGCGATCAGCGCCTTGGAGCGTCTAACGTTTCAGCCCTACTACGATCAGCGGCCCACATCGGGCTTCACCTTCAATACAAATAATACTCATATTCCCGCCACGGCGGCCATCGAAATGCCGGAGCGTGCCTGGCAGGATTGCATCATGAATACGCTGCACGTGGACGCCGCAGCAGCAGCGGCGGCGGCAGCAGCAGCGGCAGCAGCGGCAGAGGAAGAGGAGAACAAGCAAACGGATTCCAAGCAGCACGTGCAACAACAAATCCAACAGCAGCAGCAGCAGCAGCAGCAGAAGCAGCGGCAGAAGCTCTGGAACTTTGTGGACCCAATGCAAAAGGCGCCCTGCATATGCACCAAGTAAGTGCGCCCCCCCCCCCCCCCCCCCTCCCCCCACCTCTCTCACGCTCTCTCGCTCTCTTGTTCTCTTTTACACACTTGTTACGCTCTCTCAACTGCGCCTCCTGCTCCCCCTGCTCCACTAGTATCGTTCGCTCTCCCTCTCCCCCGCTCCCTCTCTCGCTCTCTCTCTGCACAGCACACAGCGAGTTGTGTGCTCTGCATTGTTGTTATTTATTTTCTTTTCTATTTTGTTTTTTTTTTTTTGCGTTGAATTTGTTAGCCATAGAAAGAGAAACCGCTTTAAAGGCATGCCTAGAAAACAGTTTGCAGCAACCCAGCTCTAATATACATATATATATATACATAGTTTTTAATTGATTAACTGCGTGTGTGTGTGTTTATCGATAGGCGTTGCATGTGTTATCGAAAACAATCGAAATGTTTAACTTAAACTCACCACAGCTTGTTAGGCGCGCGCTCTCCTGTAAATGTGTTGAAAGTTGAGTTTAAAGTTTAACACCAAAACCCACCAAATTTCAGCGCACAATGCGGCAACACTGGCAGCAGCAGCGGCAGCGGCGGCGGCGGCTGCGGCGTCGGCAGCGGCAAGCGCCAGCAGAGCAGCAGCAGCGGCATTGGCTCGCCAGCGCTGCGTGCTGCGATCGGCGTCGCCAGCGGCAGCAGCAGCAGCAGCAAATCAACATTTCAGCTTTACCAACAACAGCAGCAGCAGCAGCAGCAGCATCAACGGGCAGCGGCAGCGACGCATCATTCCAGTTCCAGTGTTGGCTACTTTGCCAGCAACTGCAGCAACTCCTCTTACTCCTACTGCTCCTCCTCCGCCTCCTACACTGCTGTTGGCCTCAAGCGACAAATTGTGCCGTTTCATCAGCGTTTTCTACTCAATACTCAGACAGCGCTTAAACCTAACAACTACAACAACAACAACACAACTTCCTCTACAACAACAACAACAACAACAACAACAACAACAACAGACACCAATATACCAAAACAAAGGTTTGTGTCGCTGTTCAGCCGTGTGTGTTTGTGTGTGTGTGTATATATGTGTGGAGTGTTGCCATATGTTTTAATTTTCTTAGGTTTTTTCTATAAGTTTTTAATACGCTCTATTATTACACTCACACACATGTGCATACTCGCCTTGCCACCCACACACACACACATACGCTCCCTTAAGTTGTTTCTGTTAGTTCCATGCGCTCTTTTAATCGCTCTCTTTCTGCCATCAACAACAACAGCAACAGCAACAACACAACACGCTCTGTTAACTTTTTAACATTTTGTTTCTGATTCTGTTGGTTGGTTATTTTAAGTTTTTTTCTAAAACCTCTGAAAGTCAAACACACACACTCACACACACACACACACACACATACCTACTTCGTACTAAAGCTGCAACGGCGCCACTTTCGCAGCTCCTTGGCAACATATTCACCTCCACCTCCACCTCAGTAACAATTCTTATTTTCTATTCTCTTAACTTGCGGTTAATGGTGTAGTAACAGTAACACACACACACACACACACACACATTGTTAACAAACTGAGCTACAGTTATATTTTGGCATTTCACGCAGGCGCGCAGTCTGCGATAAATCGCTCATTTAATCGTTATCGGAGCGCGTGCTATCGATTGCAGCTGCCCGTTATAATAACAAGCAGACACACACACACACACACACACACATATACACATACACATATACAATTGAACACATATTGTGTATATATATATGGCTGTAAATAACCCGTACATTTGCATAAGTATGTACATATATTCTGCAACGGTTATTTGTTTAATTTTTTTTTTGGTTTTTGAGTTGGAACTGCTCTCTCTGCGCTCTCTTGCTCGCTCGCTCGCTTGCTCGCTCTCTATCTCCTGCTCTCTCTTGGATGTGGTGTTTACTTTTTTTTTTGCTTATCATTTTTACTCTCGATTAACTATTTAGATTATTAGCCACAATAATTCGTAGTTGTTTTTAATATTGTACATAACCCACAAGCATGTTCCGCTTGTTCATTTGCAACAAATCAAAACTAATCTCTCTCTCTCGCTCTCTTCCCTCTCTCCGTGCAGACATCTCAACGTGGGCAGCGCCTCCTCCGGCGGCAGCAGCAGCACGCCCTGCCAAGGCGGCGGCGGCGGCGGCGGCGCCTCGACCTATTCACGCAACTCGCTGGGCGATCCGGCGGTGGCCGCCGCCTCCTCCTCGGTGGGTTCGCCCGCAACGCCGGCGCCCTCGCCGCATCCGCTCTCCAATTCGGCGCACTCGCAGCCGACCTCGGTGCCGCCCGCTGAGCAAGTGAGTCCAAGTGACGACTGTCCCTTGTTTCACACTTAAAATATGTTGCTAATGTTTCCATTTTGCTTGCTCCTCCGTTGCTGCAGCTGCTCAATATGAGTCCGCATGCGCCGACATCCGTATCGAATCTGCAGCAGCCGCCGACGCCCATCGATCATCTGCTGGACAAGAATACGCCGGCGCCAACGCCGACGGATCAGCACGACAGCAAAAGCATAACCGCCTCGCCGTACGTGCATCAGACGCCCAGCGTCGAGCCGCCCACCTATGCAGAGCATGGCAATGCGGCCGGAGGCGGCGGCTCTCAATCTCTGAACGCGGCGCCGGGCAGTGTGCCTCAGCAGCAGCCGGCCACGCCCACGCCGGCAACAGCAGGTGCAACAACAACAACAACAACAACATCCGCGACAGCTGCTGCAACAGGAGCAGCAGCAGCAGCAGGAGCCGGAGCCGTAGCCGGAGCAGGTGGCGCCACACAATGCGGCACGATAAGCGTTAAGAAGCTGGAGATGCAACAGCAGGCGCCACAGCAGGTGCTGGCCATCAAGCAGGAGCCAGGCCTGGCACGGATCAGCCAGGTGCAGCAGCAGCAGCAGCAGCAGCAGATGCCGCTGGCGAGCAGCGCCTTGGAAGCGGTCACAAATCTCTTCAATCTGTACAAGCCGCCGCAGCTGACGCTGAAGGATGGGGACAGCGTCTACGACGAGGAATGGCTCAAGGATGTCTACGACTTTAGCTTTCAGGAGACCTGGTGAGTTGTCTCTCTTTCGATCTCTCGATCTTCACGTGCTTCCAACTAATTGTCTCGTTCGTTGCGCAGGGATAATCTGCCCGTGAAGCGGCCCAAGCTGAACGAGTCCGCCAAGCAACGACGACCACGTTACGCCCGGAATCTGTACGAGGGCCACACGCACTTCAAGCCGCTGATGCCCTCGCCCGGCTCCGTCTACGGTCCGCTGCTCTCCATCGAAGGCAGCGCCGCGGCACTGGGAGCAGCCGGCGAGGGCAGCTCCAGCGGCGGCGGCGGGGGGCTTGTGGGCATAGCCGGAGGAGCCGGAGCAGGCGCAGGAGGAGCCTATGGAGGCGCGTCCAGCGCAGATGAGGCGGACAATGCGCTTGGCGGCAGCTTGACTGCAACGACAACTGGTGGCAACAGTTTCTTCCAGGGCCTGGACATTAAGACAGAGCCGGGCCTGCATTCGCCGTGCAAGGAGTCCAAATCGACGAGCACCGCGGGCAGCGGCAGCGCTGGCAACAATCTGTTCACAGCTGAAGGCCTAAATCCCTCGCTCAACGATCTCGAGCAGCTGTTCGAGACGAGCTCCAACGACGAGTGCAGCAGCGTCCAGATCCATACGCCGCCCGACTCCAACAATCCCTCGAATGGCGGCTGCAGCGCCGTCAGCAACACAATCGACGAGCTCAAGCGTAGCACGGCGGTGGCCAGCGCCGTTGTTGCCGCCGTCGTCGCCAGCTCCGGTGCGGGCAGCATTCAGGCCGAAGATCTAACCAAAATGTTTCCGACGCCTCCATCGCACGAGCAACAGCATCCCAATTCGAGTCCCTGCCAAACGGATGTTGTCATGACCGATCTGAGCGTGGACACCAATAGCACCACAAATATGGGCGTAGGCGTCGGTCTGGGCGTGGTCCTCAAAATGGTCAAGCAGGAGTACAGCGTGGAGCTGGGCAGTCCCGTGGAGGAGCCCATCGACGACTGGAGCTATGTGTACAGGCCGCCGCAGCAGGAGAAATTTGTGGGCTCCTCGCGCTACGCCCCGCTCACAAATCTGCCCAGCCAGACGCAGCCGCCGCTCCAGATACCCGCCAATTGCTACTACAATCCCACCTGGAGCCACAGCCAGAAGTCGCGGGCCGCCACGCTGGCCAAGGCGGCTGCCGCACAGCAGCAGCAGCAACAGCTCCAGAAGCATCAGCAGCTCCAGCAGCGCATCCAGCAGCACCAGCAGCTCCAGCAGCAGCACCAACAGCAGCAGCTCCAGCTGCAGCAGCAACAGCAGCAACAGCAGCAGCAGCATAAGCATCAGCAGCTGCACGAGCTGCTCTCCGCCGGACCGAGAACGCCGATGAATGCAGCGATGCCGTCGCCCTCAATGACGACGACGACGACGACGACGGTGCCGCAGCCGCTGAGCAGCGGCGGCAGCCAGCTGCTGTTGAATCAGCTCAATTGTCCGCAGGCGCCGCCTGGCAGCTCCATGCAGCAGCTGATGCAGCGGGCCGGAATGTCGCCCATTCCGTCGCCGGGCGGGCCGGGCGTGGTGCCCTTTCCGCGCAGCAGTCCGATGCATCTGGGCGGAATGCGGCAGACGCCGACGCATCCGCCGCCGCCGTATCCGTATGAGCTGGCGGCGGCCAGTCCGGCCACGTCCACGTCCTCGTACCTCAACAAGCAGTACAATTCCCAGGAGCCGCCGGGTCATCCGCACACGCCGCAGAGCGTGCATCATGTGATGTTCGGGCCGATGAGTGCGGGCACAGCAGGATCGGGTGGCGCGGGAGCTGGTCTAATGCCTGCCGGCGATGGCTCCAAGCTGGCCATGATGCAATATTCCGGCAGCGGCTCAACTGGTTTGGGCAGCAGCTCCTCCTCCTCCGCCGCCGCCGCAGCAGCAGCAGCAGCCGCAGCTGCAATGAGTCTGCTGCAGGAGCTGCCGGAGGTCAACTCGGTGCTGGTCAATATACTGCTGTACGATACGGCTCTGAACGTGTTCCGGGATCACAACTTCGACAGCAGCAGCGTCTGCGTCTGCAATGCGGATACCCAGAAGATTGGCAACATCCGCGGCGCCGATTCGGGTCTCTATGTGCCGCTGCCCGGCAGCAGCTTCAATCCGTTTCCGTCGCAGCGTCTGCTCAGTAGTCATCCGGCGGCCACGCCCTATAATCCCTTTGGAGGCAGTGCAGCGGGTGGCGGCGGCGGCGGGGGAATGCGCATGCTAAGTGCCTTTGGCGGTGGGCTGGACTCGTCGCCGGTGGCTGCGCTGTCCGGAGCTGGCTCCGTGCACCATGGCCACGGTCCCAACGGCGGCTCCAGCTCCTCGTCGTGCACTCCGCCCAGCAGCAATCCGCACATCACGGGCTACGTGGACGACGATCCGGTCGAGTGCACCTGCGGCTTTAGCGCTGTGGTCAATCGTCGACTGTCGCATCGCGCCGGCCTCTTCTACGAGGATGAGCTGGAGATCACGGGCATTGTGGACGATCCGGCCAGGCACAAGCAGCCCACGCTCTTGAGCCTCATCCAAAGCCTGTGTCGCAAGGGCAACAACAACAACAACAGCAAGTCGGGCAACGAGCCGGTTGGCAAGGAGCTGGAGAAGCTAACGACGACGACGACCACAACGTCCCAGCAGCATCAGCAGCAGCTGGAGCAGCTGGCGCATGCGATCTTCGATCTGCTGCTGGATCAGTGCTCGATTATCCAGACCTCGAGCAGCTCGGTGCATCGGGCCCTGCAGTCGCATCGCCGTCGCATGTCCCGGCAGCGGCGACTCTTTGGCCAGAACAGCGCCTCGCTGGCGTCCATTGCGAACGTGCTCGAGTTTACGGATGCGCACGACGTGGTCAGCCTGGCGCTGGAGCAGGCACGGCTCGCCTTCGAGAGCCAGCGCATGGACATGAACATGCTCGAATTCGGACACAACAATCACCATGGACAGCAGCAGCAGCACAATCCGCACCAGCATTCGCAGCATACGCATCATCCGCACCAGCAACATCCAGCACAGCATCCGCAACAGCTGACGGCATTCCAGGCGGCGCCTGCCCTGCGCCAGAAGCTCCTCGTGCTGGGCAGCAGTCGCCTCACGGTGCACAAATGGCCCTATCTACCCGTGGGCTTTACGAGAAGCAACAAGGAGATCGTCCGGACAATGAACGCCATCCAGCCGATGCTGCAGAGCGCCTTCCATTGCAAGTCGCGCGGCGGTGCCGCCGGCTCCAAGGATGCCAGCTCCTACAATACGGTCAGCGGTCCGCTCACCTGGCGCCAGTTCCATCGTCTAGCCGGACGCGCCTCCGGCCAGTGCGAGCCACAGCCCATACCCTCGGTTGTGGTCGGTTACGAGAAGGATTGGATTTCGGTGGCGCCGCATTCCATTCACTATTGGGACAAGTTTCTTCTGGAGCCCTATTCGTATGCCCGGGACGTGGTCTATGTGGTCGTGTGTCCGGACAACGAACATGTCGCCGCCAGCACGCGCACCTATTTCCGTGAGCTGAGCAGCACCTACGAGATGTGCAAGCTGGGCAGGCATACGCCCATCCGCGGCTGGGAGGGCGTCTTGCAGGTGGGCACCGAACGGGAGGCGCCGCTGACGCCGCTCGACGACTGGCTGCGCACCCTGGACCATGCGCCCCTGGCCGAGCAGATCCGACGCTATGCCGTGGCCTTTCTCTACCAGCTGGCGCCCTATCTGAGCCGTGTGCCCGGCGACAAGACGCTGCTCAATCCTCCGGATGCCTCTGCCAGCGGCAGCCACTCGACCAAGGCACCGGGCGCGGCGCCACCTTCAGCTGCCGAGCATCCGCATGAGCCCGTCATCAAGCTGGAGCCGGGCACAGAGCCGACCCCGGCGACGCAGAGCAGCAGCAACAGCAGCTCCGGCGGCGGCGGTGCCGGACAGGAGCAGGACAGCAAAGCGGATGTCAAAGCGGGCGGCGACTCGAAACCCGCCCTGGTGCTGGGCGATCCGCTGGGCATGGGCGAAACGCTGGAGGACATCAATCCATCGGCCATAGTCCTTTACGTGGTGAATCCCTTCACCTTTGCCTCGGACAGCTTTGAGCTGGAGAGACTCGCGCTCATCGCGCTGCTGCGCTGCTATGCGGAGCTGCTGAAGGCGGTGCCGGATTCTGTGCGCGCCCAGATGAACATCCAAATCATTTCGCTGGAGGCCATCATGGAGCTGGGGCCGTGCGGCAATCGTCGTCGCTTCTCGGACGAGATCAAGTGCCTGGCATTGAACATATTCTCGCAGTGCCGGCGGCATCTGGTGCATGCGCAGCCCGTCAAGAGTCTGACGGGCTTCGGCACCGCCGCCAACATGGAGGCCTTTCTCAAGACCAAGGATGAGCCCAATCGCCGCGCCTACAAGATGTACACGGCGCCCTTTGTCCTGGCCCCGATGCACGAGCGCAACGACAAGACGGACTTCTCCCGCGCCGCCGGCAGCATGCACGGCCAGAACGAGACACGATATTCGGTCATGTATTGCAATTATTGCCTGAGCGAGGATCAGTCCTGGCTGCTGGCCACCGCCACAGATGAGCGTGGCGAGCTTCTGGAGAAGGTTTGCATCAATATCGATGTGCCGAATCGGGCGCGCAGACGCAAGGCACCGGCACGTTATGTCGCCCTGCGCAAGCTCATGGACTTCGTTATGGGCCTCATCTCGCAGACGTCGCAGATGTGGCGTCTGGTCATCGGACGCATTGGACGCATCGGGCACAGCGAGCTCAAGTCCTGGAGCTATCTGCTCAGCAAACAGCAGCTGCAGAAGGCATCCAAACAGTTCAAGGACATGTGCAAACAGTGCACTTTGATGTATCCGCCGACCATACTGAGCGCCTGTCTGGTCACACTGGAACCGGATGCCAAGCTGCGCGTGATGCCCGATCAGTTTACGCCCGACGAACGCTTCTCGCAGATCTCCATGCAGAATCCGTTGTCGACGCCGCAGGATGTGACCTGTACACACATTCTGGTCTTTCCCACGAGTGCTGTCTGTGCTGTAAGTAGAAAGAACAAGTTCTTTAATTATCCGTTAATCGGTTTATCGATTATCAATTATCGGTTAATTGAGTTGCTTACCGATATCCGATTAACGTTGGCTCCTTTACGATTTCTGGTCTTTCCTACAAGTGCTGTCTGTGCTGTGAGTAGAAAGAAAGAACTCTTAAATTATCGGTTAATCGAGTATCTATTATCGATTAGTAATCGGTTAATTGATTTGCTTACCGATATGCGATTGCTGTTGACTCTTTCACGATTTCCGTACACACATTCCGGTCTTTCCTGTCCGTGCTATAAGTAGAAAGAAAAGACTCGCTAATTATCGGTTAGTCTGTTAACCGAATAATAATTGATACTTACCGATATCCGATAACCGTTGTTTACTTGCCGATTACCGCACAGAAAGTCTGATCTTTCCCAAACCATCTGTGCCATCTGTGCTGCAAGTAGAAAGAAAGATCTCTTTAATCATCGGTTAATTGATTATTAAATGCCGATAACTTATCGGTTAATAATTGTTATTCTTACCGATATCCGATAACCGTTGGCTCCTTTACGATTTCCGTACACAAAATCTGGTCTCTCCTGTCTGTGCTGTATGTAGAAATAAAAAAGACTATCGATTCATCGATTATTAATCGATTTGCCTACCGATATCCGATTTCCGTTTTTTCTTAGACACATTCTGGTATTTCGCACGAGTGCTGTCTGTGCTGTAAGAGGAAAAAGAGAGAACTCTGTGATTATCGGTTAATCGATTATCATTTATCGATCTTTAATCGGTTTGATTTGCTTACCCATATACAATTACTGTAGTCCCGTTGTCGATTATCGTACACACAACATTCTGGTCTTTCCTGTCTGTGCTGCAAGTAAAAAGAAAGAACTCTGTAATTATCGGTTAATCAGTTAATCGATTAATAATTGATTTGCTTACCGATATACGATTAGCGCTGTACCTTTGTCGATTACCTGCATAATAATTCCTATCGACTTTTTCTTGCAGTCCTTCACACGACAATTCCAGAACGAGCCGCAGGTGGACGACGACTTCATCTTTGGCGAGGAGGAGGGCAACGAGGACTTCAGCGATGCCGATATCGGCGACCTCTTCTGGGACTGTGAGTATCGCATACAAATTGCATTTGCTTTGATCGTTTGTCTCATGAAATATCTTTTGCACAGCAGCTCACATGGATCGCGTCTCGAATCACGGCAGCCCGGGACGCATGGAGGACAATCGCAGCTGGCAGAGCGCCGGCGGCAACAATTTCAAATGCACGCCACCGCAGGAGGTCGAGGAGGTGCGTAGCCCCTATTAACTAAGCTTATCCAGTTGACTTGACTTACCAACAACATATTCTTTGATTCCAGGTGGGCTCCCTCAATCAGCAGCCCATTTCGGTGGGTTATATGGTGTCAACAGCGCCGACAGGTCGAATGCCCGCCTGGTTCTGGTCCGCCTGTCCGCATCTGGAGGATGTGTGTCCCGTCTTCCTGAAGACCGCATTGCATTTGCATGTGCCCAACATTCAGATAGCCGACGATATACTCAACTCGACCAATGCCCATCAGTCGGCAAATGATCATCCGCTGGACTCGACCTTAACGGCCGATGTCCTGCGCTTTGTCCTTGAGGGCTACAATGCGCTCTCCTGGCTGGCCCTCGATTCCAATACACACGATCGACTCTCCTGTCTGCCCATCAATGTGCAGACTTTAATGGATTTGTACTATTTAACGGCGGCGATAGCATAAACGCGCAGTCACAAAAAGCAATATACAACACTAGAGAATTAACAGTAGCAGTAACAGAGTAACAGTAACAGAGTAACAAAGTAACAGTCGATTGCTTCCAATTGCTGTACTTCCATATAATAGCAAAATATCCACAAGTGCTATACCAAAACAAAGTAACTCCAACAACAACAACAACAAATAAAACACCAAGCAACCAACAACTGAAGTTAACAGTCCAAAAAAAACCAAGAAGTTAAGTAACAGTAAGAATAACAGCAGCCGTAACAGTAACAGTAACAGTAATATTATAAACATGAACTGTTAACAGAATAACGCACAGTTAGCGTAAACACAGAGCCTTGTAATAACAGCCGCCGCCGCCTTACAGCCTTATCACAGGGTGTGCAAACTAAAAAGAAGAAGAAAGTAAAAGATGAGCAATGAGCAATGAGCGATGAGCTCTTGATGCGCTAAATTGAATTATGGTTAGCGACAACCGATGGATAAAGTCTTGAGAGTAGCAAAACAGCATTACTATTTATTAATTGAAGAATTGTGTATAGTGCAAAAATTGTTTTTTTAGGCTGGCGTTCGTTTTAGTGTTTAATATTTATACATATACAAAAAGAAAAAACAACAACAAAACAAACAACAAACAAAAAAAAACCAACCACACAATAGGGGCATATTTATATATATTATATACATAGATCATATACAATACGCAAGATTTAAAGAAGGAGAAGAAGAAAAGAAAAAAACATTTTTAGTGTGTAAGTAAAAAGGAAATTTGTACATATTTACAACCAATTTGCCGTAAGCAGTAAGAACAACAACAATAATTATAAACACACCAACAACAACAAAAACAACAACAACAACAAAAATAAGAGAAAAATTATAATTATACAATCGAGTAGCAAGAACAAGCGAGAACCTAATTAAAACTAAATTAAATTAATAAATTGTGTAAATTTTTTGTGCAAAGCGAGAATTAGTTTAAATTATTATAAAAAACAAAAACAAAAACAAATACAATTTAATGTTAAAGCGAAAACTCACACACACACACACACACACAGCCAGACACACATATACAAAAGGAAACGGTATACTGTACATGCATATATAACAATTATATATATATATATATATAGAGCGATATACACATACATATATCTGGACGCAAAGCGCAGATGTTGAGCAGAGTGCGGGGATAGTGGGCGATAGGGAGGGGGGGGTTGCATGGGGGGGGGGAGGAAGGCAAAGTTATGGTATAAGGGATTTTAAGTCAGTAAGTAGTTTGAGCGTTAGGAACTGTTTTATAAAAATTGTGTTTTGTTGTACTTCGCACACATATATACACACACGCACTGACACACACAGACTCACACACACACACACCTGCATACACAACACTCACATAGCCAATTGTTTAATAATGAACTACTTAAAAGAAATGTGTACAAATTAACATAATGCGTTTATAAAGAAAAGCTTTCTACAACAAACACACACACACACACACACACACACACACACACACACACACACACACACACACACACACACACACACACACACACACACACACACACACACACACACACACACACACACACACACACATACACACACAACAAATTGATTTTGCACATTGAAAACATTAAAAACAAAACGGATTTTCGCTAGATTAAGTTTACATTAAAAGGAAACAATTATTAAACAATGAAATTATTTTTACCTGTGTATTTTAATTAGCATAATTTATCAACAACAACAACAACAACAACAAAGCGAAACAACAAATAATCTACATTTACAAAGACGTTTTCTAGTAATTACCACACACACACATACACACACACACACGCTTAACTTTTAAGTAGTTTGGTTTTTAATTTTAATATTCTATTTTTTTTTGTGTAATAAACAACAATTATTTGCAATTATTTTACACATTTGTTTATTTCGATATGGGAAAGAATACCCTGTAGAGAAGAAAAAAACGCACGTCAATTTTGGTATTTAAATACCGCATTGCATTTGGCTTTTCTTTTTTTTTGGTTTTTCCATTTTCGCTCCAGTTTTGCAGTTCACATAACGGAACATTCATATCCACTAAAAAACAAAGCACTCGGAAAAAAAGGTGCGCATGCTGTATATATATATAAAAAAAAACGCGCTTACAATAATTTCTAGCTTTTCCACAAAACGAACGAGCAGGAGTATAACAACAACAACAACAATGATAAAAAAAAAGAAAAACACAAAAAATTTCCTAGCTAAGGGTTTCAGTTCTTAACTCTGATTTTCTCTCAAAGCAAAGCGAAAGTAAAATACATATACATATATAGCAATAATTGTAATTGTAATCTACACACACACACAGAAGAAGAAGAAGAAGAGGAAGAAGAGGAAGAAGAGGAGGACAGTAGGAAAAGAAAAACAAAACATATAACGCAACAATTGACAACAAGCATTCATGAATAACAAAACAAAAAAAAAATGAAAAATGAATTAAAACCAAAATGGAGGGAACAGTTTTTTTAAAAACCAACTCAATTTACGAGTTCAACAATTTTCTAAGAAATAAAAAACAAAAAAAAAAAAAGAAAACTGCGTTTGGCACGCGTTTCCACTAGAGCGCCAAGATGCGCACGCAGTGGAAACAGGCGCAAAAATTACACACACACACAGACATTTATGAGAAAACCAATTGTAAAGTAGACTTAAGTGAGGCTTAAAAAACAATTGAAAGCAAAGCAAAAAAAAAAAAAATAGAATTAAAAAAGAAAAAACATTACATAAGTGCATTAAGCGTTGGATAAAGTTTAGAGGAGATAACCATTTACTAGCCCAGCCCCTAGCCTAAAAGTATGCAATTATTAAGTTAAACATTTGTTAAGGTTAGGTCGAGGTTAGTTTTACGGCACGACACACACACACACACACACACACACACACACGCACGCACACGTGTGTACATAGGCCAAATTCCAATTTGCAAAATTATACTTAGGCGGCAAACAAACCAACTTAAGCGACAAAAACATCAAATAACAATTGAGAAAAATATATATAAAAAAAAATTGCAATTTGTTTCTAAAACAAATATAAATACATGCATATACATATAAATACATAAATTAGACGAAGATGCGAATTTGCGCTGAGGTGGGAAATGAAATGTATGTCAAACCGAGAATCTAGCTACAGAATTGCATATTATAAACAATTATAATAATTAATTATATAACGGACACACACACACACACATACACACACAAAATGTTGTTGTAGTCAAATTACAAATGAAGTCTTGTTTTTGTCGAAGAAATAGTGAAAATCAAGAAAACAAATCAAGTCAAATTTTAAATGCAAGCAAAAACTTAAAATTTAAATTATAAAAAAAACCAAAAAATAAACCGAAAATAAATCAAATAATTTTTTGCAAGTTCTTTATAACTAATAAAGGTTTTTTGGCAAGCAGATGAAAAAAAAACACACACACATTTTTCCAATACAAATAAAAAGAAAAGCAAAACGCAAATCAATTTAAATCGAAATGTTTCTTTTTTTTTGTTAGTTACACAACACTCTAGCTCTCTGGCGGCATGCTACAACACTGGCTCAGGCATATTTGGTGTAATATTGAGTTGTGGCCTGACGTTGACCTACTGAACTGTAGAATGCAATTAGCTTGCGCTCGAATTCATCGCCGCCCGCATGACTATTGTCTAGCCAGGCCTCCAGCAGAATGTTCGCATCGTAGTTATCGCTCACCTTTTCCAGCTCGTCTGGAATGGGGATTTAGCTTGTGTTAATCTTTCAGTTTTGGATGGTCAGCTACTCACTCATGACCATTTCCTTGATTTCCCACTCGCAGTCGTAGCGCTGCGTTAGAAACTGCAGAAATTCCAATAACTTGGACGTGGTCAGCTCCCAGGTAATGCAATGCTCCCTGATCAACTCATCATCGTTCCAGAGTCGGACGCGTCTCCACATGTGCTCGGTTCGCAGCCTGATCTCGCTCAGCGTTTCCAGTATGTGCTTCATCTGGTTGTAGGCCTTATCGAGTCGCTTGAAGAGTTTATGTATACGTTTCTTTGTATGCCGCAATTCGCGTGATCTTTTCGCATTGTTCAATTGATTTTCGCTCTCAAAGATTTTTGCACACAGTTCGGCATAGATTTTCATTTGATCGCCACCTTTTAGCACACCTTGCTGCCAGCTCAGGGCATCGATTTTGATTGTCGCGGGTATAACATTCAGTTCCTTTATAATATTGTGCGAATTCATGTTGGCCAACGACATTTAATTGCACGCGATGGGAACTAGAAGTTTTCAAATTGTGGCATCCAGTGTTGTACAATGCGAGCAAGTCGCATGAAGTGTGTGCCAGGTTTCTGTGTTGCCGCACACTGTTTTTTTCAGTGCCATTCCTTTGCTGCTTCTTCTTAAAACTATCGTCGGAAATTGCATTAGCTTTTGTTGTTTCCTGCTCTCACTCTCACTCTCTCTTATTGGGAGAGAGAATAGCTTGAATGAAAGCTCTTATTAGCATTGTTATTATCGCCTTTTTGACAGTGTTGTGCAATGCCAGCAAGCTACAGGTTACATATGTTATTCAACTATCGCATGAAGCGTTTTCAATGAATGCTTTGCGAAGCTCTTCTTGCAAGACAAAAGAGGGAGAGAAAGAGAAAGCGAAGGAAAGCCCCGAACAGCAAAGCGAACTGATAGAGAGAAAGCTTAACATTATGTAGACCCCGTTAACAGCTGAGTGCTGTGCAATATCGCACGACACGTGTCAAGCATTCGCGCGTTAGCCAACACTGTTGTCCTTTGTTATTCCTTTCGGCCAATTCGATCGCGGCATAATAAGACAAGCTGTAAGCAGCTAGAGCAGCGCATTAATTGAGCGCTTGTTACAAGCAACTCCTCCACGTTTTCCCCTCCTCCCGGGCAATTAGCTGCCGGCTAGTTGCGGCCATTTTACCTTTACTTTGCTTCTGCTTTCGGGATCGTTGCAGCCTGTCAGCCCGAGCTGCAGCCATGAGTTACGGTGCGTTGATTGCGTTTAAGGCCTGATTGCAACAACAACAACAACAACAACAACAGAATTTGCTGTTCTTTTGAGGTGAGCGCGCGGCAAACTGGTTTTTCGCTTTTGGTTCTGCATTAATTATCAACAAATCATTTTTGTAGCACTGAAGGGCGCATTTATCAGCGATTATGCATGATGGAGCGAGCGATCGCTCCGAATAGAATGGCAGCGGGAAGGGGGGGGGGGGGAGATTGGAGGCAGCTTTGGCCAAGTGTCGCAGAACATGTGTACCTGCCTGGCAGCTGCCGACGATTGCGGCGAGCGGATGTGGCACAAATTGAAGCAGGCTTTTAGAGATTCACGTCGATCTTGACGTGCCGCCACCGAATTTGTCAGCCAAAGACGGACACAATGATGGGCAGCGGCCGGAGGCCGCAGGCTGTTGCTCGGCAGCACAAGGATGCGGCGTCCAGGCGTCGGCGACATGACATGCCGTTGATAAGCAGAAAAAAAAGAAAAACGAAAAACAAAAAAACCAAGCTCAGCACAAAAAACGCGCTCTTCGCATTGCAATTAAGATATTTTTATGTAAATTAATGAAAACAGCGAGCGGCAGACGCGGCAGACGCAGCAGAAGGTTGCCAGATCGACGCAGATATGCAGCAGCAGGAGCAGACATATGTAAGGGTGGGGGAGGGGGGGGGGAGTGAGAGGGGAATTGTGCGGAGCATGCGTGCAACTTACAAATAAGTACAAGCCGCAGCGACTGCAAAGTCCAATTGCGACGAAAACTGTGCGCATTTTTAATTGGAAAGCGCACACAAAAAACCAAGTGTGCTCTGCTCGGAGAGTGCACGACTAGCAGATGCCCTGTTAACAGCTAAGCAACATCTTTTTGTAACTACTTATTTCATACACTTATATATCTCTATACATCTAAAACTGTTTGTCCCGACGGACTGACTCACTCTGACTTCCTTACTGACCGACTGACTGACTGATTGCTGTGTGGAAAACATATTGAAATTCGTCTGATGGATGCTCCGCACTTTTTGAAAATACATCCTTCCTTGGTAGAAATAGTTGTCAAAAATGTATTGGGTGGTATTCATTTCCAATGACCTATAAGAAAAATTGAGACGTGTTTAAATTTTTGGCAAAATCAAAGCTTTCTCGGTGGAAAGTGTGATTCAACGATATTTTAACATACACATACACACACACACACACACACACACACACACACACACACACACACACACACACACACACACACACACACACACACACACACACACACACACACACACACACACACACACACGCACACACACGCACACACACGCACACACACACACACACACACACACGCACACACACGCACACACACGCACACACACACAAACACACACACACACACACATACATACATACATACATACATACATACATACATACATACATACATACATACATACATACATACATACATACATACATACATACATACATACATACATACATACATACATACATACATACATACATACATACATACATACATACAACATACATACATACATCAACATCTACCTATATACATGCATATACATCTACCTACATACAAACATCTACCTACATACATACATCTACATACATATCTACTTACCCGCCCACCTCCTCCTGCGCCGCCTCCTCCTGCTCCGCCGCCTCCTCCACAGTTGCTCCTCCAGGCCGTCGGAGCCAAAGTGCCCTGCCTAGTTGAATTTCAGCAGGCCCTACTTTAATTTTTGAGAATCGAGGAGGACAGCACCTGGAAGAAATTCGTTTTATTTAAATTTGCAGCACAGCCACAAATGAGCTTCGTCTGCATTTGTTATTAGAAAACAAACATGCGTGCATACATATATACAAAAATGCACACACACATGCATGCATGCACTAACACACACACGCCCACATACACACGCCCACACACACACAAACACACACACATATATAATACTTATTATAAAAAAAACTTATTAAAAGCGTCTGTGCCTCTTCCTGCATATAATTTCCTTCTTTAATAAGATCGGTGCTTATTGTCCGATCGTTTTGAAATTTGGAATGCATAAAGATGACAATTTACCAAAAATCAAGGCTTTAACCGCAAAGTTGCAATTACTTTGTTACATTTTGGGGGAGGTTTAAAAAAACGTGAAATATTTTGTATAATTAAGCCTCTCTCTTGTTCTTCCTTGTGAGAACCGATACTTATCGATCTTTTCATTTTTAAGGGAACTGAAAGTTATCGATAATTTGTATTAAAGGTGAACTGCTCGTGAAATTGAATTAACATTCCGAGAAAATTCAAAAGTCAGTCTGTGATATTGACTAGATCAGACTGATGAAGGATCCTGCTCCCTCTAAAACATGGGCACAACTTCAATATACCCTTGCCAATTATATGGGTGCAGGGTATATAAAAAGCGCAGCCGAAGCAGCCACAGCTTCGGCCTGCAGCCAATGGACAACGATCGGAAACAGCAAAAAAAAAAAAAATGTGACGCACCGAAAATTTATTGTCTCATGATGCGCTGAAAAAGCGAAGCCGTCGTCCAACGAGCTGAGCTGCATGTCGAATGGCCAGAGCAAACAGCAAAAAGGCCGCGGGCAGAGCAATCGCAGGCGGGACGAGGGGATGCCAAGAAGTAGAAGGCACAGCTCGGCGATCGGCTGGGCTGCAACTCCTGCGCTCCTTCTCCGTCTCCTTCTGGCTCGGCATTTATGTCTGGCACTTGACACATTTTGTTATGGCATTTCCAGCTACCGCGCGCAGCTCTGACTTTGTTGACCCAATCAAAATTCCTGGACCTTGCACTTGAATGCGTTTAATTTGTAAGCTCGCCGGGTCGCAAACTGTCGCTCGGCTCAAGTGTTGAATCGCATGTACAGACATGAGAATCGGCACAAGAATCTCTGACGCTGCATCTGCAATATGTTAACTATCGACTACAATTGTGTGCACTTATGGGACGGCATCATGATATTATAGCTGGTTAAATCAGCTCAGGATGCTGATAAAGCAACTGAGACAAGAGATTATCTCATTATCAGAGCAGCAAATTGAGCTTGGAATGGAATTCCAGTCCTTTTCTTAATCAAGCTAATCTTAAGCCCGAAACAAGGCTTATTTGAAGAGGTATTGATTTACATTAAGTGGACTTGGGGTCTCTATCCTACCCAAACTGGACTTCATATATGTGTAAAGCTAGGTTTACGAACCGAACTTAAGGCTCGGGCATAGTTGCACATCTTGAACCGCACCAGACGACAATATTTGCAGCCAACCTGAAAGGATAGCCCAATCTATGTTAATTGTACAATGCAGATCTTTTAGACATCAAAGTATTCAGTCTGCAATCTTGTTAGGCATATAGCTTCTTTGCAGCTCAATTGATTCTTATAGCTAATGCCATGCCTTGATCTTGGTTTGATCTCTAGATTTGACATCTAAAATCCCCATAAACAAGTTCCGACATCCATAAATTTGTCTCTTTTCTGCTTTTCCGCTCTTCTAGATTGTTTTTGCCAGTCTCTCTATGCTCCATTTGCAGCTGCTCTTTGAACTCAACCAGGTCTTGAGGTTTTGCATTTGCCTTCGGGCGTATTGCTGATACCCATTTTGCGGCATAAGCCAAGCTATTTGCCTGCTTATCTGTGCCGACTTCCTCTTGGCCTCTTGGCCACTTAATAAGGGGCTTCAACTAGGCGTGTGGGGTGTCCAGCCTACAGAGCAATGCAGCTGCTGCCTGTAACCAGTCCCACTTCCAGTCACAGTCTCACTCCCAGTCCCAGTTCTAGTCTCAGCTCGTCGCAGCTCCAATTGCAGCTCCAGATTGTTGCCGGTAGCGTTTGCTGATCGCTGGCCAGGGCCAGGGCAGCTGGATGGGCGGCTGGCAGGGCGCAAGTTGATTTATTCTAATCTGTATAAGCATGGCTATAATAAAGCAAAAGTGCCCACTGAGTGGACAATGCTGGCCAGCAGCTCTTGGCCAGGCTTGCAGTTCTTGTTCTTGTCGGGGCCAAATTGCAGATCAGCCTGTGTCCAGCTTGTTTAACGTGTGTGCGGCTCAGTGTTGTCTGCTTCGCTTGCTTCCCGCTAAATCTAGCCTTTTTTATCAGCAGTGTGATAGCTGGGAGTTTAGCTTTTCTTTAATGTTTTTAAAGTGATTTGCCACAAGAAGCTTTTGATTCGAAATATAAATGTTGCCAAAGATGATATTTTGTATCTCAGTTGTCAGACTCAATAAGTGGAAATTTGATTTAAGAACGAGAAAGAAGGGCT